GACTTTCCAATATATTTAAAAGCTATTAAACACTAGAACGCGAACAACACGTAGTTCTCTTCCTAGAAAATAAAGAAAATCCCTAATCATATCAGAACATTGTCCTCTACTTTGTATAGAGGTCTTTTTTTTTATAGAAGAAGGGGCAAACGAGCATGCGGTTCACCTGATGTTAAGTGACTACCGCCGCCCATGATCAACCGCAACACCAGGAGAATTGCGGGTGCGTTGCCGGCCCTTTAGAAAGGAGTAAGCTCTTTTCTTGAAGGTCCCCAGGTCGTATCGGTCCGGAAAAATCGCCGGTGGTAAACTATTCCACAGAGAGGTTGTACGTGGAAGAAAACTCCTTGTGAAACGTACAATGGTGGACCGCCAAGCATCCAGATGGTGTGGATGGTATCGGGACGTTTGCCGTGTAGTGCGTTCACGAAATTTGGCGGCTGGGAATAGTCCGAACAATTCCTCAGAGCACTCCCCGTGATAGATGCGATAAAATACGCAAAGAGATGCAACGTCTCTTCGCAGCGCCAGTGAATCGAGCCGATCGGAAAGCACTCGGTCGTCGACGATTCGAGCCGCTCTGCGCTGGATGCGGTAAAGTGGAAGGAGCTGGTACTGGGGAGCCCCAGCCCAGAGATGGGAACAGTATTCTATGTGCGGCCGAACCTGCGCCTTGTAAAGTTGCAGGCGGTGTGCCGGCATGAAATACTGTCCCGCTCTGCTGAGCACGCCAAGCTTTTTAGAGGCCAATTTGGCCTTCCCTTCCAAGTGACCACGAAACTGCACGTCACGCGATATGTCGACGCCGAGGATTCCGATACTGGCTGAGGCAACAAGGGGGAGTGCCTTGAAACTGAGGGGCTACGACAAAGGGGTTCTTTTTAGCGGTTAACGCGCAAACTTGTGTCTTCTAAGGGTTAAACTGGACTAGATTTAGTCGTCCCCAATCCGAGACTCTGTTTAGCAAAGACTCGACTTCAGACACAAGTTTGTCCCGGCACTCGGAGACGTTTTCCCGAGAAATATTGGCTCGGCCGTTGTAAAGAGCATCACCAGTGCTGTCATCTGCATAGCAATGAATGTTACGGGTATGCAACATATCATTGATATGCAGAAGAAACAGCGTTGGCGATAGCACGCAGCCCTGTGGAACACCAGCATTAATAGGCTTGCAATCGGAGCTTGCACCGTCTACAACGACCTTGATGCTCCGATCTGCAAGAAAGCTGGTGATCCAATCGCACAATTTCTCGGGAAGCCCATAGGAAGGGAGCTTCGAAAGAAGCGCTTTGTGCCAAACCTGATCGAAGGCCTTCGCAATGTCCAAACTAACGGCCAATGCCTCCCCCTTGAACTCTACTGCCTCCGCCCATCTGTGAGTGAGGTAGACCAGAAGATCACCAGCTGACCGACCACGGCGAAAACCGTATTGGCGGTGATCTATCAGGTGACTAATCAGCTGGTGATCCTCAAGGTACCTCATGAGCTGGCAGTTTACAATGGACTCCATTGTTTTGGAGAACAAGGAGGTGATGGCGATTGGCCGGTAGTTGGACGGGTCTGAGCGGTTGCCTTTTTTAGGGATCGGGTGGACGAAAGCCGTCTTCCATGATTTTGGGACTAAGCCTAGGGAGTAGGAGTACCGGAAAAGACGCGTTAAAACCGGTGCCAACTCTGGAGCACACCGTCCTCAGCACAATTGGGGGGGATTCCGTCAGGCCCACTCGACTTGTGGATGTCCAGGGAGAGGAGTGCTTTGCGAACCGAGCGCTGTGTGAACTGCACTTCCGGCATGGAGCACTCACACCGCGGGATGGTCGGCGGCGTACTCCCCCCGTCATCGAGAGTCGAGTTAGACGCAAAGAAAGAGCTTAGAAGATCTGCTTTCTCCTTTGCAGTATGGGCCAGTGAGTCGTCCTCCCTGTGCAGAGATGGAAGAGATGGCTGACAGAAATTCCCCTGGACAGCCTTGGCGAGAGACCAAAATGCATGGGTTCCAGAAGGAAGGCGAACTAGTTTCTCGCCAATTCTGCCTATGTGCTCTGACTTTGCCTTGGCAATGACTCTTTTGAAGGACCTAGAGGCGGAATTATACTTCTTTTTTAGAGCGCTGGTGTTTACATCCCGGGACGCTGATGCATCAACCCAGGCTTGGTAGCACTCCTGCTTATAGCATGATGCTATTTTACAGGAGCGACCAAACCATGGCTGAGATTTGCCTCCAATGGGCACCACAGAGGAAGGAATAAAAAGTTCCATACCCTGAAGTACCACATCAGTGACAGAATCCGCAACAACGTTGGGATCATCCGGCGAGAAGCAAACCCGCCCCCAAGGGTAGGATGCAAAGAAAGACCGCATCCCATCCCAATCGGCTGATCTATAGTGCTAAACACGGCGGCAGCCTGCAGAATGCAACCGCGATTTCAGCGTGAGTGGCACCACACTCCGGACCAGACAATGGTTCGAGGAGCCTAAAGGGGCGTCGACGGAAATCTGATATCCATCCGGGTGAGAGGTCAGCAGAAGGTCCAACAGGGAAGGTGCAAGTGCATCTGGAATCCGCGTAGGCGAAGTAACCAGTTGTGTCAGACCATATGCCAAGGCAAAATCATGAACAGATCTCCCCGCATGATCGGTTAAACGTGAACCAAGCCATTCGGCGTGATGGGCGTTAAAGTCGCCGAGGATCACGATCTCTGCGGAGGGGATCTGCTGTAGCAACGAATCTGCAGCCATTTGGACGTGGTCGAAGAGTCGGTTTGTTTCGGCATTACCGCTATGGGACCTATAGAGGCACCCGTAGACGCGCGGATGGTCGTCGCTGTCGATGCGTAGCCAAAGGATGGACAGGTCCGAACCTTCAAGTCTGCCGAGGCGTTGAGAACAGATGTCCTCTCTGACGTAAACGCAAACTCCAGCCCGAGGCACAAAGGAGTGTTCCAGTTTGTACCCCGGGTAGGAGAGATACGAGACATCAGCCGGAGAGGACACCTGCGTCTCGGTCAGAAAGAGCAGAGCCGGCCTCGCCGTCTCGAGATGGTAGTGGACGGCGTTTAGGTTAGAATGAAGTCCCCTGATATTGCAGAAATTCATGGACAGCGTGGCAGGGGTCGCCTTGGTCTTGTTGCTCCGTTTGCCCCGAGCAGTTGTAGTCTTGAGCGGAATTTTGCCCCCCCCCAGAATACGCGGGGCAGCCTGAGCACCCACGCTCAGAAGTGGAGAAACATGGTCGTGGATGCTCAGCGAGGGATTCTCCAGGGGTGCTGGTACCCTCCTGGGGTAGTCTATCATTATTTAATTCCGCTACCATGTTGATGGGGGGGGGGGGGGATTTGGGCCTCCGGCCACCTGCACTCACCAGACGAAACGCGGAAGCAGAGCTTCCACTTCACGCCGGTATTCTGTGAGGTCGTGGTACCACCCCGGTTTGAGCCGGCCCATACGTGCAGCAGCAAAGCTGCCGCGTGGCTCTACCACAGTTATGTATGTATGTTATATATGCAGTTATGTTATGTAGGTCAGTGTATCACAACTATTCTTTGCAATTCTCAATGCTCAAATCAAATATTTTTCTTTTCTTCACATACAACCAACTGGCCAGCTAGCATCTTACTAATGTGTACTGGCCAGTCACATACGTTCGTCGCAAATTCAAGCTGTTTTGTATGGAGTGTAGAAGTAAGGAGTAATTACTGTGTATTAAAAAGTGTCCATAGAAAACCGTTAAATAAGGGTGGCGCCACTATAGCTACGGGCTAAAATTTAAAGAACGTGCCGAAAAATATTAGTGGGATAGGTGACTTTTTCGAAGTTATAATTACTAAATAAAATTAATTTAGATTTTAGAGCTACTGAGCAGTTTAGCAGCACACTTCAAACCGTCGACAACTGCTAAGTTCGTTTTATCCCAGTAGTTGCTCCAGCGCTGTTGTGGAGAGTTTTTGAACTGTTATTTACTGTCTACAGATGGCCACTTTTTCAACTATTCTACTATGGGAGTTGGTACTCCTTACTTCTACACTCCATACTGTTTTGTCTTCCGCTCCGATCGCTTGTCTCGCAACGGTGCTGCCATCTCGTTAAAACATATGTTGATAAAGATGATTATCTAACAAACATCACAGCCTATCAAAGTCTATGCTGAACTGTTTCAGATGAAATGTTTCAATACTTCGGATTAGAGCACAAGGTTCAGTATGCCTCTAACCATTTGGTGATCGCTGCCTGTTTTCACGCTTGCGATCAGTGAGTACTGATGGGTAACTCATCATTTTTATATGAGGTTGAGGGAGTACCTCATTTTACCTCGCGAGGTCCTCACGAGGGACCCCTCATTTGAGGCGAGGTATCGCACATCAGCGTATTCAATTCACCTCACGAGCCGAGCCCGAGCTCGAACCTAACTCAGCCGATTGTCCGAGGCAGCGGCAAGCGGCCGGCGGACGGGCGCGTCGACTCACGAGTACTCACGATTTCGATTTTTACGTCTCCCTCACACACGTAAATTTCTTTCGCTCATAAATTTTAGACCGCCAAAATAAACGAATCAATGACACTTGAATAACAATCGAATGCTTATGTTTTTAGAGTTCATAGTTAACGTTTAGAGATTCATATTAATAGCAGAAATAAAAATATTTTCTCTATTAATTCGTTTTGAGTACCTAATAATGTTACTTTACCTATGTTGACCTTGGAGGTGCACGTGTGGTGAAGTAATTGTTGATATTGTTGTGATTGTGACAAATACGTAGACTTTTGTGTTAGCGAAAAATTGGATTGTTTTGCTTGTGTTCGTACTTATTTGCTTGTTTTGGTTTTGGTGGTGGTGTGGTGGAGATAGATTGCTGCTGGTGTGGGTTTTACCTTTACCATTCCTACATATTTGGCAGGGTTATGGCTCCAACGGTAAAAAAATCGAAAACCTGGGAGTTTTTCAAGGATTTTGGAGAATATAAGGCCAAATGTACAATTTGTATGAAAATTTTGTCGCACAGGGGTGCAGGCCCTTATAATTTAACAAGATATTTAAAATCAGCTCATCCCCTTGTCCTAGCTGGGATTCAGGAAAATCGTACTAATACTAATGATAATAATCGTAATGATACTAGTGTTGCTCAATCTCTTTCACCTGTGATTCCATCTACGTCTCAAGGTGAGTCGTCTTCCGCCTGTCCCGATGGTTCCACTCAATTTGTACGAGCTACTCCCGTTCCGAATCGTCGTCCTCTAGATTTTAACCAAAATAATAATATCAATCAATATTTTGCAAAACTGCTGTCATTAAAGAAAACTGAAACCATTAATAAGTTGCTCCTTCAAATGATTGTCAAAAATTATTTGCCTTTCACAATCGTCGAAAGCGATTCATTTAGAGCATTTATAAAAGAATTGTGTCCTTCGTATGTTGCTCCCTCAAGAAAGACGCTATCAAAAGCTTTATTACTAAAATATTACAACATCGTAAGAGAAGATGTGACAAAATTACTAGAACAAGCGGAATATGTTGCCTTAACTACGGATGCCTGGACTTCTGCTTCTCATCATCAGTATGTTGCTGTAACAGCACATTTTGTTGAAAACGGCAAAATTATGGCGGTAATGTTAGAATGCATTCCAGACGCACAACGCCATACCGCACAGAACTTAGCTGATTTAATCAAAAAAATTTGTACCGAATGGAATGTTATTGAAAAAGTAGTTTCAGTTACTGCTGACAATGCTAATAACATCCAAGCTGCCATTTCTTTATTAAAATGGAAGCAAGTACCGTGTTTTGCTCACACATTAAATTTAATTGTTCAAGCAGGTTTAACAGAAATTAAGGCAATTCAAATTAAAGTTAAAAGCATTGTGGAACTTTTCCAAAGAAGTATTTTGGCTAGTGAGCGCTTAACAGCCATGCAAAAGCAGCTAGGGGAAAAACAGCTAAAAGTGAAACAAGACGTCATAACACGGTGGAACTCTACGTTCGATATGTTCGAGAGGATTTTAGAGATAAAAAGAAGTGTGATTTCCACCATTGCAACCGATTATCCCAACACGCCAAATTTGACCCCCGACGACATAGAAATTTTGTCAAAATGTTGTGATTTGTTACGACACTTTAAATCAGTAACTGAAATTATGAGTGCAGAAAAGCATGTAACTGTATCGCAAATAATAGTTTTAGCGAATTTGCTCAAAAAAAAGTGCGAGGCGTTCACCACTCAAGACATTCCCCAAACAGTAATTGAAATGGCGAAGCGGTTCGTTACTGACATATCAGTACGGTTTAGAAATGTAGAGGATAACAAATTATTTGCCGTAAGTACGCTTCTAGACCCACGATTTAAGGCATATGGTTTTCCTGATGACAAAAAAGTAGTGTTGATAATGCAAAAAAATATTTATCTAATATAGCGGCTAAATCTATTGCATCGATTAATGAAACTGAATCAGAAATTAGTGAAAATATTTCACAAAGCGATACAAACATACAAAAACCTTCTATATGGGATGAATTCGATCTAAAAGTTGTAGATGCAGTTAAAAAGCAAAACCCGACCGCAGCTGCAATCATGGAAGTAGATAAATATTTCGATGAGCCTCTTATTAGCAGGAAATCCCACGACCCTATATTATGGTGGTACACGAAAAGGCACACATACCCACGCCTATATGATGTAGTCAAAAAACACTTTTGTACTCCAGCTACTTCAACTCCTTCCGAAAGAGTTTTTTCGAAAGCAGGACATGTCGTTACTGACAGGCGCAACCGATTGGATGGTAAAAAAGTGCGCCTGATTTTATTTTTACACGCAAATATGTGATTGTTTATTCCAAACGATTGTTTTTGTACTTTTTATCCTTTGATCTCAATTAATACACTCAGTTTTTTTTTTAATATGCTTCGTGTGTTTTATTTACCCTGCAATTCATTTCACACAATTTTTTGTATCTCTTCTTAATTTAAATAATATCTTACCAAACATCAGTATCACACACATCATTCATCAAACATCATTATTTCATTAAGTACATAACAGTTTTTAGTACATAACAAGTACATAACAATTTTTTAGTGATTGAGTAGGAAATAGGAAATTGAAACAAATAAATAATAAAATATGATTCAATTTATATTTAAGTTAATTGTAAATATTCATTAAATGATAATTTTAAAATACTGTATTGTGAATGTAATAATAATATTAATAATTGCCTATATTTGCAGTGCCCTTGCAGGGTTCTTGTTTTGAACATTTTTTTAAATATAAGACCAAATGTACAACAAGAATAGCAAATAAATTGAATTGAATTGAATTGAAAACAATCATAATGTTTACTGTTTTCAAAATTTCGATTCCTCACCTCACTCATTCTCTAATTTATTCTGTACTGTAAATATGGATTTCTAAGTCGGTTCATTCGCTCACTAAGCTCACTCAATGACTCACTCGCGATCATAGCTCGCGATGCTCGCGAGTCGCGAGTACTCACGTCAATAATGCCTATGTCAATTTTTAAGTGAGGACGCGTGAACGAGTGAGGTGGTTCAATGTTGAAAATCGAGTAACTCTTTCAATTTGCGATCACGAGTACCTCAAACGAGGCACCTCATGAGTGAGGGGCACATCTCTATCAGCGAGACATCACTGAACAGTTGTCGTCTGGTCGTCATAATGAAGTCAATTTCACTCATTTTTTGTCGAACCGTCGGGACTCGACCAGATCCACTTCCTGTGGGGCTGCTTCTGGAAGAAAGCATTCATTATATAGGGTTTCCCTTTCTCCTGCTGGCCCCTTGGGTTCCATTGCTCTATTGCGAATTTTCCTACCTTCAGTTCACTGTTCTCTAATGTGCCTAGTTTTGCGTTGAAATTAACACCGTATAGTGGGTTTTGGATGAATGCATGGCTTTAGAGATATCCTCATACATCTCCTCCACCTCCTGATTGGCCTCCCCCCATAGATTTTCATAGTTGCCACTTTTGGTTGGCGTGTTAGTAGTTTTTTTAATCATTTACTGATTTTCTGAGTGATGCTGCTGCCAATACTCCAAAGTATTTGCCAGAGATCTGTCTGAGGAAATAGCCTACTTTTAAAGCTTGAAGACCGAGTGTGGCAGCATCGTTTCCGGGAAACCTGAGATTTTGAGTGAGATTGAGAGGTTCTATGGGCAGATGTACACAATTGCGTGCACTAATCCTGTCACCACTAATTCCAGCACCACTACTCCCAACACACTGTTCTAGGAAAGTCACACCATCGACGATAATATGACACGTGTTTCGCCTCTACACGAGGCATCTTCAAGTGCGTCATCGTTGGAGAAACACACAAGTGTGAATAACGATCCAAGAGCAAGTCTTACGAGGGCGGCACTGAAAATTTCGCGAATCACGGAAGTGACACAACATTACTATTTAAAAATGTATTTATTGCTTTTCGAAGTATTCTCCGCGAAATTTGACACATTTTTCCATACAATGGAACCAATCATTGAAGCAACCATTCCATTCGGAAGTTGGGGTCTCCAAAATGGCCGTTTTGTAGGAGCTTCTTCAGGTGATGAAAATCTCTGTCCACGCAATTTATTCTTTATTTTAGGGAAAGCATAGAAATCATTAGGGCTTAGATCGGGGCTGTACGGCGGATGGTATAATAATTCTATGTTTTCTTGCTCTAAAAACTTTTGTTCTGTGTGCGGTGTGAGAACTCGCATTGTCGTGATGGAGGATGATGCGGCGGTAGCAGTTCTCTTTACGGAGTTCAGAAACGACCTGTGGCAAACAAATGTTAGCATATCATTCTGCATTAACCGTTCTTTGTCGCTCAAGAGGAATAGTCGTAACATGGCCGGTTTTGGAGACAAACGTGGCCACCATTTTTTTCACTCATTTTTGAACACCCAAACTCGTGACTAGGCGAAAATTTATCGACCAAATTGGCGATTTATCGACCAAACTCGTGACTGGTTTTTTGTTTCGGGTTCGTACGCGTATATCCAGGATTCGTCACCTGATACGATGTTGTATACAGCATTTGAGGATCCTGCGTGGAATCTTTCGAGAGTTCTGATGCACCAAGTAACGCGATCCGCTTTTTGCTCTTCACAGAGCGAATGCGGTATCCATCGGGAAAACAACCTTTTTACACCTAATTGTTCATGCAGATTATTTGTATTTGACTCATGCCAATGTCTAAAGTTGCCTGAATTCGACATGTATGTCACATGTCGATTTTCATCAACTTACGCACAGCATCAACGTTTTCTTGGGTGACTGCAGTTTTTGGACGACCTTGACGGGGATCATCACTGAGCTTGACACGTCCACGTTGAAATTCAGCAAACCAGCGATAAATTGTGGTTTTGGATGGGGCTTCATAACCAAACGCAGAAATCATCCGGTCAACACACTGTTTTTGTGTTAAACCACTTCGAAAGTCATAATAAATCATCGCTCTTGAATTTTCTCGAGTCAATTCCATTTTCTCAACGACTAAACAAGTTTGACAAAACCTTGTGACAAGACCGAGAATCTTTTTAAATAAATAAATGGTATTCGATTTTTAAAACCAAGGAGTTTTCAATTAAAAAGATTTTAATATGACAGGTACAATGGAAATATTCCATTCCCGATACTTTTAGTGCAGCCTATGTATCCGACATTATCCCAAAGATAACCCGGACGTCAGTCTGAGCGAAATTATAATGGCTCTCCAGCACCTTAAAAACGGCAAGGCCCAGTCGAGGATATAATTACAGCGGAACTTCTGAAAGGGGGTGGAAAACTGGTACTTGATGTCCTTCAGAAGCTCTTTAAATCGCGTTAGTGCGTTGGTCTTGTTCTTAAAGAAAGGCGACAACACTCTCTTGAAGAACTACAGACCGATTTTCCTTTTGAGCCTTGTCTACGTGCTGTTTTCGAGAGTCATTATAAATCTTCTCGCACGCGGACTCGACGATTTCCAGCCGCACGAACAAGCCGTTTTCCGAAAATGCGTTTTTTTCCGTAGACTACATAATATATAGTATATATTATAATTTTCCAAAGGGTATATATTATATAGCCTTTGGAAAATTGTACAGAAGACCGAACAGACTTTTTTATGCGTATGCGGACTATGAGAAAACCTCTGATTCCGTCGAAATTTCGGCGGTAGTACAGTCCCTTCAGCGGTGCCAAGCTGACTGTCGGTATATTGAAGTGCTAAAGTTTTTTTACAGTAGGGCTACGATGGCCGTCCAAGTACAGAACTAGAGTACGAAACCTATCCAACAGCAGAGCGGTGTAAGCCAGGGTGACGTTATATCCTCGAAACTCTTCATCGATGCATTGGAAGACGTTTTCAAGCTACTGGACTGGAAAGTATACGGTAATACCGTATCCTTTCACCAATCATCAATGGCGAGTATATCACTCTCCTTCGATTTGCCGACGACATGGTACTTATGGCAGAATCGCTGGATGACCTAATCACTATGCTCAATAACCTCAATAATGTCTTCCAACGGATAGGTCTTAAGATGAACATGGACAAAACAAAGAATGTATAATATCCATGTCACACCTACGCCGGTAGTTCTTGGGAGCACTAAGCTCAGAGTTGTTGACGAGTTTGGTTCTTCGACCAAGAAGTCAATCAACGGAGTTAACTTGGCTGGGCAGCGTTCGGAAAATTACAACAAACCTTTTCGTCAGGTATACCTCAAAACCTAAAAACGACATTGTACAACCAACCAGTGCGTGTTGCCAGTGATGACTTATGGATGTGAGACGTGGTCCTTCACTGCTGGCCGTATGAGGACGCTTAAAGTTGCTTAGCGAGCAATGGAGAGGGCTATGCTCGGGGTTTCTCTGCGTGATAATCTTGGAAATGAGGATATCCGCAGTAGAACCAGAATGACCGATATAGCGCAATGGATAGGTAAACTGAAGTGGCAATGGGCTGGTCATATTGCTCGAAAAACCGACAACTGATGGAGAAGCAATGTTCTCGAGTGGCAGCCTCGTACCGGTAGGCGATGGAGTAATGACCTGGTAAGACATGGATGCTGGTGGCTCAGGACCGTGTTTTGTAGCATTCTTTGGAGGAGGCCTATGTTCAGCAGTGGACTTGTGAAGGGCTGTAGTGATGATGATGTAGCAATATAGAATAAAAAAACAAAACAAAAATAATAATTTATTATTTTTATTTAAATTTTTAAAAAACTTTTATTTATGATTGTTAATGATATTTAATTAATGATTAATTTATTATTTCTTAACTTCTAGACATCCACTCTCAAGACGAGATCATATCAACGCTGTCTCAATTCCAGAGTGAGATATGCGTTAAATTCTTCTACACACCATATAACTACAGTGTTAATGAGAAAGATAAAATTCTATACATCAGTAACCCTGAAAAGATTAAGAATTGTCCACCAAGTGTCTACAACTTTAGCGGCAACGTTGTTGTAAGTTTATAACAAATTATTCATACAATTTATGCTACAATATCCGGCAGTGGCGGTGTAAGAATATCCACTACCCCATACAGTCCCTGGGTATTGTAACGGCTCGGCCACACTACGCTCCTCGCGCTGCTCATCACTGCTCCTGCTGCTAGCACTGCCGCCATGTTGCCCTGTCTGTCCACACATAGCTCTACTCTCGCAATTAAAAATATTAGGTTACACACACTGCGAATCTAAAGTGTTAGTTAAGTTAGTGACTTTTTGGTTGTTTCATGGTTATATAGTGATAAGTCTTCTTGCAGCTATATTAATTCTATAGTTGTAGCACGAATGGGTCGGTTCGACTGGGGAAGGACGACGCTCTCACAGAATACCAGCGTAAAATAGCAGCTTAACGCTGTTGTGTTTCATATTATGTAGAAAACCGGATTCTATAGTCCTCACGGTTGACAACTCATCTGCATTTTAATTCCTAAACGAGGATAGATGTAAATGTTTATGTGCTACAGCAACCATTTACCATCAGATGAACTGTATGCTCACTTGTCACCATTATTCCATAAAAAAATGATAACAATAATTTATTCGAGAAAACGATTGACGGCAGTACCGCCAACCGTCTCCTGCAGACGTGCGTACCGTCTAGTATGTATATTATTGTAAAAAATAATTCGTTATTGCTAGAGTCTGCCACTTACGATATATAGTATATATTCTTACCCATTCTTACGTAATACATTGTAAGTCGAAATTTAATATTAGAAATCCAGTCCCATTTCGGACACTGAATCCAAAATTCTATACTGTACACTTCTATTATAGGAGTCGCAGGAAGGGTAATAATACGCTTGATTACTTGTTGTTTTCTTTACTATAATAGTTTATAACTCGAATAAAAGTAAAGTAAAAGTAAAGTTACAGCCTATATACGTCCCACTGCTGGGCACAGGCCTCCTCTCATTTCTGAGAGGGTATCAGGGCAAGGAAGTGTCCACCACGCTGCCCCAATGCGTGTTGGCGGACTTCACAAGTCTTCGAAATTTTTTTTCTTATTGCTCAGACATGCAGGTTTCCTCACGATGTTTTCCTTCACCGCCGAGCACGTGGTAAATTAGCACTTAAAATTACAATTAACAATTTCATTGGTGCCAGCGGGGATCGAACCCGGTTTGCTCGCGTACTGTGCAATTTACAGCGAGCGCTAACCATCTGAGCTACCACGGCTCATAACTAATAACTCGAATAGTCAGTAAAAATAATAATTATTGCAATCGTTTAAATAATATCACAATGGTGGTAGCATATCCCTACTACCTATCGGAACTGAACCTAGCAACAGTTCGAACGTGTAAGAATTATACAATCCAAATACTTTGATAATATGAAAATAAGTCAACCACTGTTATAAGTGAATTATTTACAAATGTTTAGAAAATGAAAATACTTATATCATACTCTTTTTTTATAGGATAAGGCTGACAAACGAGCACACAGTCTACCTGATGGCAAGTGGTTGCTGTGGTCCATAGACATCTAAATCTATCTTTGATTACGAATCAAAATGCAGATGCGTTGTCACCCGTGAGGACTAAGATTGTTTTCCTCGCTTCCAGCAAAATGGGTCTCCGGTTCTCTACTTTCTTTGTAAATACCTCAAATTCTAAATTAAACATAAACTGAGAAAGTTATCTATGATAATCATTATGACAGTACAATCACTAATAATCTATTTTATATTTGTTAATTAAAAAAGTAATATAAAACCAAAACGATAATTATACAAATATTAATTATAAGCTTATAACGATTCATAATAGAAATTATGTAACAATAACTGATAAGTGATAACACATCTTATCAACTTTTTCTATTAAAATTTTTAAATGTTAATATTTTCATTTTATCCATTTTAAATGTTATAAACAAAACTGATAGAATCTTACCGTAAAATGGGGTGAATAGAAACAAGTTTGATTATTTGATAAAGTCGTCTCTAGCTATGTATTTCAAGACTGAATTGGTCGGCTCGCCTGGAGAAGGACCCGCTCTCATAGAATACCAGCGTAAAACAGCAGCTTAATGCTGTTGTGTTTCGTATGGTGTCTGTAGAGATCCAGAGACCCTTTTTTACTTAAAACGAGGCATTCCATCTTATTCCTCAGGGGTGACAACGCATCTGAGGGGTGACAATGCTCTGAGGGGTGACAACGCATCTGCGTTTTGATTCTTAATCGAAGATAAATGTAGATGTCTATGGGCCACAGCATCCACTTACGTGTAAGTGGACTGTGCTTGTTTGTCACCCTTATCAAATAAAAATAAATAAACAGTAGAAATAAACACAGACTAATCAAATCACCAGACCTGTTTCTTTTCACCCTGTGATTTAAATTCACCCCATTTTACTCGGTACGCACATACATGAGAGTAGGTGGGTCAAAACTCGCCAAAACCAACCTTACGTGATTAAATCATCCTTACGTAATTATAAATCATAGAATACTATAGTACATAATAGAATGGCTGTCAACCTTATTTTGTACGAGGATAGGCATCGCCGGAAGCACACATACATGAAATTACGTCGTATTATCACTACTACAAACCCGATTCGCTGTGTTGACAGACATATTTTAACACATATTTATTTGTAAATAGCGTGCAATTTGGCATTTTCTAAATAATTTGCACGCGAAATATGGAAACGATTGTAACGTCAAAACACATCTCGTGTTGATACGTGTGAATTGACGTGTTAGTGACACGGGATCCGTCCACTCCCCCGTTCTATTATGTATGTAATTATAGTATTCGATGTTATAATAATTAATGTTATAAATAATTAATAAAGGTGTAAAGACACCTCTGAAGGCTGTACGTAAACTACTCCCATGATACAAGAAAAAAACCTAGTGTGAATGTGACGTTTCTTTTTAGAAAATAAAAATAAAGTCTTTTTTTTTTACTTTTTATAAGCCAGTGCTTGACCACAATCCCACCTGGTGGTAAGTGGTGATGCAGCCTTAGATGGTAAATCGCACTGTCTTAGCGTAACAAATGCCTATTCACTCTTGCCTTGAAGACGCTCAGATTGTATTCGGACGGAAAGACGGAGCATACAATTTGGAACTGAGCCATTTTGTGAAATCTCAAAAAGTCTAGCCCGATTGACACTTGAAACTCTTTATCACAATAAATCACTTAAGATCTGGTCTAATACACCAGGCTTAAACATTTTAAAACCTAAATCCGGGCTTTTGGTCGTAAATTCGCTTCAGAAGCCCTGGAATTAGGTAAAAATAAACAGCGCATTATGGCAAGAACCCTGACTGGACACTGTTGTCCTAAAAAGCACATGGCCATCCTGGGACTAAGCAACTCAAGGATGTGCCGGTACGTAACACATCTGGGAAACTATTTACTTCGCCCAGAAGAAGTGAAATTGCTCACAGCTAAGCAACTCCTATTCATTGAAGACTTAGGGCTTAACAGTGAACTATAGGGATAGCAGCGATCACAATAGATGTTTTAGGTCACAGTGACGCTGGTCTTTCTAGACCTGCATAGCTACTCGCACAAAAAAGATACAGTCTGAATGTATGGATTTACCAAAGGCGTCGTATTGTTTGAAAATTTTGTCAGAATTTTGAAACAGTACCGAGCCTTTTTATCTGCTCCAATAACAGATAGATCCAATTTTTAAGCCAGTCCGATCACGAAGAAAGAAAATATTATTTGTGTACGAAGCCGTAGATGAGACACCATCTGCCGTCTAGGCTTTTCATTAAGTTTGTTATTGGTAGTTCTTTTATCTTTTTTAACACTGTCTGCAGAACAACAGTTAAATAAAAGTTTTAACAAGATCATTAACTGTTATTATGAGATATAATCTGTACAACTTTTTACGTGGTAGAGCCATGCTGCAGTTATATTAAGTAGTTGTAGCACGAATGGGTCGGCTCGACCGGGGAAGTACCAGTCTCACAGAATACCAGCGTAAAATAGTAGCTTAATGCGTTTCGTATGGTGTGTGTAGAGAACCAGAGACCCTTTTTATTGGAAACTAGGTATTCCATCTTAGTCCTCACGGGTGACAACGCATCTGCATTTTAATTCGTAATCGAGGATAGATGTAGATGTCTATGGGCCACAGCTACCACTTACCACCAGGTGGACTGTTTGCTCGTTTGTCACCCTATCCTATAAAAAAAACTGGTCACCGCAGCGGGCAAGCATAGAGGCGTTGTCGAGTGCAACAGAGTAGTGCGAGCGGAATGGACAACTTCTTAAACGCGAATAAGCAAAACTACTGCTATGGCAAGAGTGACAGACAGAACTGTGCATGCCCCACATATACACCTGTGGATATTTGATGGGTCTAATACTACTTAAAATCACGAAAAAGCAACTGCACGATATAGGAACACCAGGTAAGGTTTTGTATTTAGAGGGGCGCCACTATGAGATCTCGCACCACCCAAAAATTTTGCTAGGGCCGCCACTGTCTTTAAGGTTAATTTTACCCCTTTTGAATTCAGCAAACCACCTAAAAATTGTTGCGCGTAATGGAACTGAGTCCCCTAATACTGATTGTAACCGCGTAAATGTTTACGGTTATGATCCATCGTTTTAAGTAAAAAGTGCGGGAAGCGTTGCAGGAAAATTATTTTTTTTTAATTTTGAGCAATTTGCTTATGAAGTTCTGTTTTTAAATAAATTTGCTTTTTAGAAACATATAACACGGGTGCGTTGCATTTTTAAATTTCGAGCATCTCAAAACTTATTGAGTGACCTACGTATTGCCTACCCTACAAGGATTTTGTTCCTAGTCTTGATTTGCCCATGTACGATGCCATGAATAGACCGAGAATGACCCTGTTGGTTACCTTCTAGAAGGTCTTTTTTCCTAAAGTACTGTTACACACAGCCTCCGCTCATTTCTGAGAGAGCCATAGTTTGTAATTGTCAATGTGTAGATTGAATTAACAAGAAAATAATGC